CCTCTAGGGGATTCTGACGGCTGGTGCAGTTTGCATGTTGTCGCATGTTGCCGGCTGGTGCATTCCCCCTCTCTCTCATTCTGTCTCTTGTAATCTTAATGTTTTTGCCGCCAGAAGGTTGCACTCGCAGTCGGTTTGCGAGTCCTTGCTGGGGGCCCCCTCGAAGGGCCACGAACAGAAACTGTCATTGTAGGATCGCCAGGCAGCAGCAGCAGCCCGAGTTGCGCATTGCGACTCGCACTTGGGCGGTTATGCCCGATGCGCGCTCTGGCCAGGGGCGCCGGTCGGAAGGTCCTGCAGCGCTGCAACTCCCACCAGACCTCAGATTGGCGAGTCCTTGCTAGAGGCGTTCTTGGAAGACTTCGCAAGGGAGAAGTACTCCAGCAGGCTCGCACTTCTGGACTTCCGACATCCTTGGGCGGCGCAAGGGTATGCCAAGATCGCCGCAGAAAGGCCTGGCTCCAAGAGTGCGTCAGGACGGCCCAGAAGTTCCCCACGACGGCCGACGATGCCCTCCAAAACGACCCCAAAAAAACCGAACACCGCCCCTAACAGGGGTCCCACAGGGAGGAAATCGAGCGGGCTTCGAGAGCCGTCCGCCCAAGATGGCCCGAACAACTTCCGAGCTCGCTTTTGGATTGCCCAAGAAAGCTTTCACAGGGCCCTATATAGTCCTAAGATAGTTCAAGATGGCCCACAGAGGGCCCCCACAGCGGCTCAAGATGCCCTGGGATGACCTTCGAAGGAACACAACACGGCCCAATCTATCCAAGAGGACCTCATGACGGTCCAACATGGGCCCAAAATGGCCCCAGCGCAGCCCCGAGAGGGCTTCAAGAGTGTCCCAAGATTTCCAAGATGACCCAGGCTGCTCCAAAGACGGCTCCGACAACGGACGCCAAAGGCCCCAAATACAGCGTTTCCAGCAGGCGTCCAGGAGGCTACAAGACGACCCATGGACGGCTGGAGGGCGCGGAAGCTCTTGAATACCCCCCCGAGACGCCAGAGTCAGCGAATTGGAGGACTTGGTGGTGCGACCCGTGGTGTGGCCTTAGTGGCGTGTACTTCGGAGCCACGCTCGGGCGCAGTTCTTCGTTGCTAAGCCCCTCCTCCTCCTCCGGTCTTCGGGTGTGTAAGGAAGCGCAAGGGGCCCCGAATGAGCCCCAGGACTCCTTGATACGTCGCCGGGATGTCAAAAGTTAGCTGCCGCAGGTCCTTCTACCACCCCTGAAGGATCTGAAGAATTGTCCCTGCATGCCGCATTGGTAAGTTGCCGTGCGAGTTCCTTGGGCGCGGCTAGAACCCAAACGCGCGCGAAACTCACGCGTGGTTCTAACGTGCGTGTGTGTGTGCATACATATGTATATATATATATATATATACGCAGCACGACCACAAGCCGCCGCCTGCACACGCGTGACAAGAGCGCAGGCGGCCCATGTGTTTTCGGCTGCCAGCAGGGTGATGCCCCTGATACATCTGACTCCATTTCTCACTACGTGCACTGCGCTTACATGTGGCACGCTGTCTGCACGGTGTGGCACGTGCGCCTTCTTGCGCCGAGCTCGCTTCCTGCTCGTCTGGGCCTCTGCAGCGGAGAATCGGACGAGTATCCTCAGCGTGTAGCGCTGGAGCGCACCATCATTGCTTTTTCATTTGTACAACATTTAGTCGAAACTGCCGCCAGGGAAGTGGACACTCCCAGAGGTGGCTGTGGATAGCGCCCGTGCTGCAAGGGCACTTTTCCTCTCAACGCACAAGCCTGCTGCTCAATAGTCTGTTTGATTCATTGTGGAGCGCAAGCACGAGCGATATATACACGCAGCGCCCCGCAATTGCGGATAAGAGTGAGGGGGCGGGCGCGGGCGACGCGGGCGTCGAGCCGGCGGACCCCGTGGCCTTCACCTTCCCTGTCGATGGCGCCTCCTTCCTCCTCCTTCTCCTGGCTCCTCCTCCTCCTCCTCCTCCTCCGCCTTCCTCCTCCCTCCTCCCTCCTTCCTCGTCCGCGTCCGCGTCCTCATCTCGTCCTCCTGTCCCCCTCGTCTTCCTCCTCCTCCTTCTCCTCCTCCTCCTCCCTCCTCCTCCTCCTCCTCCTCCTCCTCCTCCTCCTCCTCCTCCTCCTCTTCCGCCCGCCGCAGGCGCCGATTCGCGTGCTCTGACAAGTTCTTCGCGGGGGTGATCGCTGGTGGGCCACCCGGAACGAATGCAAAAACAGCTAGCCGCAGGCGCCGAAGTTTTGGCTTGTTCAGTGAACGTATTTTGGGTCGCGGGTGGGTCGCGGGCTCACCTCCACCTGGGAGGACTTCAAAAAACAGCCCGTTGCAGGCGCCGAAAATTGTGATGTGTACACTGAGCGCGGTTCGAGCCGCAGGTTCCCCACCTGGAAAGAATGCAAAAGAAATCCGCCGCAGGCGCCGAAGTTTTGGCTTGTTCAGTGAACGTAGTTTGGGTCGCGGGTGGGTCGCGGGCTTTCCACTTCCACTTGGAAGGCATTCGAAAACAGCCCGCCGCAGGTACAAAACATTTTGATGTGTACACTGAGCGCGGTTTGGGTCGCGGGTGGGTCGCAGGCTCTCCACTTGGAACGAATGCAAAAGAAACCCGCCGCAGGCGACGGACATTTTGGGTGGGTCGCGGGGTGGGTCGCGGGTGGGTCGCAGGCGCGGTTTGGGCCGCCGGTGGGTCGCAGGTTTTCCACCTGGAACGAATGCAAAAGAAACCCGCCGCAGGCGCATGACATTTTGGGTGGGTCGCGGGGTGGGTCGCGGGTGGGTCGCGGGTGGGTCGCGGTGGGTCGCGGATGGGTCGCGGGTGGGTCGCGGGTGGGTCGCGGGGTGTGTCGCGGGTGGGTCGCGGGTGGGTCGCGGTGGGTCGCGGGTGAGTCGCCAGGGGGGTCTCGGGGGGGGTCGCGGGCGGGTCTCGGGGTGGGTCGCGGGCGGGTCGCGGGTGGGTCGCGGGTGGGTCGCGGGGTGGGTCGCGGGTGGGTCGCGGGGTGGGTCGCGGGTGGGTCGCGGGTGGGTCGCGGGGCGGGTCGCGGGAGGGACGACGAAAACAGCAAACAATAACCAACAACCAACAAACAACAACAACAACAACAACAACAACAACAACAACAACAACACCAACAACAACACCAACACCAACAACAACAACAATAGCAATAACAACAACAACAACAACAACAACAACAGCAACACGAACAATAATAATCCGCATCGCGACATTCCACTTTAGCCACGCACCCAGGGACAGTGAGTGACCGTTCGGCTCAGGTCCCTCATATATGTATGTATGTGTGTATGTAGGTATGTATGTACGTACGTACGTACGTATGTATGTATGTATGTATGTATGTATATATATACACATACATATACATTTGCATGTTTGTATTATGTATACACATTTGTATGCATGTATGTATGTATGTATGTATGTATGTATGTATGTATGTATGTATGTATGTATGTATGTATGTAAGTGTGTATATATATATATATATATATCAGTAAGGGTTTCCAGCCTCCTCTTTATCATAATGGGATATATCCAACTCGCGTCGGTGCGTCTCGGCGCTGCCTTGGGAATATCGTGCGGGGGCGGATCGGAATCATCAGCGCGTATTGAGGCGTTGGCGTTATCCGAGGGGCCTTCGGCCCATCCCGCCACCGAGGTTGGGTTGTGGTATGAGGCCTCTTGTATATGTGTTGGGGTGTTGTTGGGAGCCTCTCGGGGGCCTCTTGGAGACGCTTTAGGCGCCTCATGGGGGCCTGATGGGGGCCTCGTGGGGTATCTTGGGGGCCTGTTGGATGCCTGTTGGGGCCTCTTCGCGTCCTTTTGGGGCCTCCTGGGGGCTTGTCGGGGCACAAATATCGAATGTTCGGTTCGTGATTCCCTGCTTGGGCCCCTCTTTTGGCCGTGTTTGGGCCTTTGGGCCCTCTTGGGCCGTCTTGAGCGTTTCTTGGGCCATCTTGGAACCCACATGGGCCGTCTTGGGACCCTGTTAGAGGCGTCTTGGTCTGTCTTGGGGCGGTCTTGGGAGCTTCTTGAGCCTTCATGGAGCGCCGGAATGCCGAACATGCGAGAAGGCCGAATCCTTCAAACACCTTTTTGTAAAATCTACGAAGTTGGCCTCTTGAGGCTCTCTCGGGAGGCCTCTTGGAACGTTCTCGGGGCCTCTTTGGGCCCTCTTGGGCCGCCTTGGAACCATGTTCGGGCGCCTTGGAGCACTCTGTCCTCGGCAATGCGAATACAGTGTGATTTGCGAAGGTTTATGGTTTCGGGGACGCGAATATTGCATAAGTTACGAGGGTTTGTTGTCTCGGGAACGTGGGTATTGTTTAATTGTCGACGGTTTGTTGCCTCGGGGACGCAGGCATTGCATAATTTACGAGGGTGTGTGGCCTCGGGGGCGCGAATATTATAATTTGCGCGGGATTATGGCTTCGGGGACGCGAGTCTCACGTATTTTCAAGTGTCCCACGCCCCCATATGATTTCAGAGAGCTCGATCCAGTCGTGGTCAAATGGGTGGTTTGGGGCTCCCTCCCTCGTGCGGACTTCAAGAATTTACAGTCTAAAGCAGACAGCAGGATTGTAAAATTGGAGATTCGAAGCTGCAGCTGGTGCATGGAGTAGCACACTTGGGTCTGCAGCCTGGTGGCCCCACACGAGGGCCCGCGGATATGTATGTGTATTTCTTTACATATATACACATGTTTGCACATCTTGAAATACATCTATATACACATACCTGTACAGCTATGAAGCTATATATATACATATACATATATACAGTGCCTATATAGTCACATATTTAAACATGGAAGTCGAAGACGCTGGCGGCGATTTGCCGCCGCCCCCTTGCCTTTTGGAAGCGCCTACGTCGTGAAAGGTGTAGTAAAAGTGCGGCCACGGTTTCTGTCTGCGTGTTCCCCCAGTTGATGGGAAAGCTTCTGGAGGAGCCATGGAGAGGAGTTTCGTGCCTCGGGGCACGGTGGCGGAATCACGCGCACACGCGTGCTTCTGTTCCGCACGCAATGCCTCAATGGGCACGGGCGGTCTCCCAGCAGAGCGCGCACAGATGGCGCGCCAATCGTAGCCATTCTGCCAGTTCCTCATGGCGCGCTAGAACGTAGCCCTTAGAATGATGTTTCCTGAGTCTCACTGTGTTTGCGTCCTTGGGCGGGCGGCCAGCCGATCTGGCAGGCCGCTGCTGCCCCGCTAGTCAGCGCGACAGCTGCTTACCTGTGGCCACGTCGGGAAGTTCAAATCGCTCGTCGCCGTTTTCCGCTCGGCTGCCTGTGAATCGCAGATGGGGCCACTGGCTAATCCGCAACCAGGTTGAGCGGGCCCAGCTAGACGACGCGCCCCGCACCCAAGCGCCAGTGCATTTTGTTGTTGTTCACAGGTCCAGGGCCCCGCCCCTAGCCACACCTACCCCTCCCTCCCCCCTGAAGCGGGCAACTGTTTCACTGATTGCTACAAGGCTCATGACCCGAGCAGTGCGTCACATGCTGCGTTGTTGTCCCTCGGCCGTGCGCAGAAGGCGTGGCGCGAGGGGACGGCCTTCCCAGCTGCCCAGGGGGAGCTTCTCCGAAGCAGGCCTGCCTTGAAGCACGACGTGTTTGAATATCCCGAGCCCTTTACGAAGCACCGGCCATCCTTCTCACTCTATTCCTTGTGCGCGCCGCTAGGTTATCGATTAGACGTATGAGTGACCTTTCGCCGGAGTGTCCTTTGGTGCGGGCACAGATGGGCCCTCTGATGGCTGAAAACGAAGCGGTAGCAGGGGCTTGCGCGCCCAGGTTTGGTCTCCCCGCGGCCCCCCAAAAAGGCGCGCACCAAAGGTCACTCTTACCCAGGGTCACTCGTGAGTGTAACCGAGTTTACTGCGCCTTGGCATAATTTGCGCTCGCTGCGACTAGGCGTGCTCGCCGCGACTGGCCGTCCTAGTGCGCGCTTCCTCATGTGGGAGCCGTGTTGGGACGCATCGTCTTCCTCAGAGCTCATCCATCTGTCAGGTGCCACGAATCGTTGCAAACAAATCGTAACTGATTTGCTGTAATGCGAGCTGACGTCGCAGCTGAAAAGGGTGCCTGTAGCGAAACACGGAGCCCTGGCGGCAGGAGATCCTAAACAGCCTTCTAGTGCACTCGGGAAAGCACTATAGAAAGTACCTTGGAAAGTGAAGAGTGTACGTAATGTGTTTCAGAGAGCATGACAGAGAGACCATGGGGGAGACGAGAAGGGCGGCCATACGACCATCAGGGAGGCAACAATGGAGACAATAAGGCAGGCCATACAAGAGACCACACGGGAGACCATGTGGAAGACCATGAGGACCAAGAGACCGCACGGGAATCCAGACGAGAGGCCACACGGGAGATCAATCGGGAGGCAACGCGGGAGACCATACGGGAGATTTTACGGGGGATCCTACGGGGGACCATACGGGAGACCACACGGGAGCACACGCGGGAGACCGTACCGGGTTGCCTGCGGCAGTTCCCGCCACCGCGCCAGCGCAGCAGCGCTGCTCGAGTTGAAGGCGCAGCTTGGAGCTCATACGGGGCCTCTTGAGTGATGGGCGCATTTTCCACCACCGCTACCATAGGTAGGACGGCCTTCTGCTCCTCCTCCTTTTCCTCCTCCTCCTCCTCCTCCTCCTCCTCCTCCTACTCCCCCTCCTCCTCTTTCCTCTCCTACCCATGGTGGTGGTGGTGGAAATTCGGCCCATCATTGAGGGCATAGCGGTAGCCTTTCAGGTCCGTCCAGGAAGCCCGTGTGCGTTTGTACGGGTGGTCCTTTGGGAGGCCTCTTGGGGGTGTTTTGGGGCCATTTTGGGGGGCCTTTGTTGGAGGCGTTGGGCGCCTCGTGGGGACGTTTCTGCGGTTTGGGTGATATCCTGCAGGGGCAGGCTGTCAAGGCCTGCTCGATTTCACCCTCCTGGGCCCCCCGTGGGGCCTCCTGGGATGCTTCCTGGGCCAACTCGGGAGCATCTTGGGCCGTCTTGAAATGACATGACACGACATGAAACGAAGAGCGGGCACGCTGTCCAAGCCAACGTGCCCTCCGATAACACACCGAATCAGAAGGGTGGGGCAAACCCTGCAGCTGCCGGCCCTCCTTCTCCTCCTAAAATCCTCCTAAAATCCTAAAATCCTCCTCCTGCAGCTGCCTCTTAAAATCCTCCTAAAATCCTCCTAAAATCCTCCTCCTGCACCTTCTCCTGCAGCAGCTGCCTCCTAAAATCCTCCTCCTGCAGCTGCCGGGCCCTCCTTCTCATGCCGCACATTGGCGAGCGGCACGGACGCCCTTCTAGGGAGGCGCCGTCCGGGCTCTTGAGCAGTCTCGGGGCCCCACGGGGCTGTATTCAGGGCCTCTTGGGCTTAGGCCGCCTCGGAGCCCCCCAGGGCCGTTTTGGGGCCCCCTCGAGACCTACGAGGCTGTCGTGGGGCCATTTTGGGGACCTTTTTAGCCGTCTTGGGCCTTCGGAAGCCAGAATGGACCTGCACGTTTGAACGTGTGATTGCCTTCGGCTAAATGATCTACTCTGCTCTCGCGGGTCATTCGGGCGTCTCCTCGGAGGCTTCGTGGGCCGTTTGGGGGGCCTCGTGGGCCCTCGTGGAACGTATGAAGGCCTTCTTGGGCAGTCGTGGGACAGTCTTAGAGATGTGCTGGCAGTCATGGGGCGAGCTTGGCTGCCGTGGAGCGCTCATTGCTGCTCTAGCAGTCGCAGGGCGTCTAAAGGCGTTTCCAAGCAGCACTGTATTCCGACAGTTGCTCAACATCTGCTAAAGAAAGGGGGGGATTTTCAAGGGCGGTTGGTCGCGGGGAGGGGTAGGGTTCGGCCTTCGAAAATACGGAGGACACCGTACAGGACATCAGAGGAGCATTTAGCACACGCCAGCGTTCGAAAGTCACGCTGGCAGATTAAAGGACCATACGGGAAGCCACATGGGAGACTATAAGGACGACCACGAACCAGCGATTCCGGATCCAGTGGATTTCACACTTTGCTTTATAATGTATTGTTGCAATGTCGCCACCCGCACTATCATGTTTTTTGTTCTTGTGTTGCCGCTCTCTCTTGCGCCTTCTTCGTCTGGCCATTTTCATGTTCATTGTTGTTTTGATGTGGGGATCGTACTCAGCGACGGGCTACAGCCCTTGTGCTGCAGCTCCAGTGCTGCAAAAAGGATGCCTGTGTACTCCGCCACAGAAACAATATGGTTACAATCTGCCAGAACAGAAAGTATTGCTGCAACCGGCTCGGAGCAGCAGGGTGTGTCCAATTAAGGGGAACGGAGGAACAAACAGGAAACATGAACAACACAGCCACAGCGAAACCATGAACATATGAAAAGCGCTTCAGGCGAGGAGCGGAACACATTAACAAATCATCCGTGGCGACCCGGCAAACGGATCCTCTGATGTGCCGCCTTACAAGAAGAAGCTCTTTTGTAGCGGGTTACACATCGATTCCTTCCGCAGCAGCTTTTCCACATGATTTCTTTAGTTGGCGAAGTTCGGGGATCCCGATACGACATCCCCAGTGGAAATGCCGCCACAGGGGAAGTCCTGTTTTTCCTAACCATCCTGTGGTGTTGGGTCCGCGTTGTGAAGAGACAGCGCGCCGCGTCCTTCTTTCTTTCCTCCTCCTCTTTCCTCCCTCCTCCCTAGCGCCCCCACTTTGATAAGACTCCTTTTGTCTTTTCCCTACTCCTGCTGCGTTGCGATGCGCGTTGAGCGCCTTCCGACAATATGCGGGTGGTATGGGTTAGGATTGGGTATGGTCGGGTGGAGCATTTCACCTTGGCGCCTGTGCTGCTAGATACCGCGTGTTTCTGCCAGCAGCTAGTGAGTGCCGCACTAAGCTGACCGTCTCTTCGGCGAATCCGAGCGCAATCCAAACAAATCCCAGCGCCCAGTGCAGCGTTTCGTGGTCCCATAGGAACTCCACCCGAGGTCCCAGTGGCGAAGCCCGCATGTGTCTCCCACACCCAGCACAGCGCTTCTTGGCCCCATATGGAGCTCCACCGATGGTCCCAGTGGCGCAGTCCGCATGCGTCTCCCACACCCACTGCAGCGATTCGTGGCCCCGGAGGGAGCTCCACCGAAGGTCCCAACGGCGCAGTGCGCGTGCGTCTCCCACACCCAGTGCAGCCCGCTGTGGCCCCACAGGGAGCTCCACCTAACGCCCCAGTGGCGCAGCCCGCGTGCGTTTCCCAGACCCAGCGCAGCTCTTCGTGGCCCCGCAGGGAACTCCATCGAAGGTTCCAGTGGTGCAGCCCGCATGCGTCTCCTCCACCCAATGCAACGTGTCGCGGCCCCATAAGAAGCTCCGCCGAAGGCTCCAGCGGCGCAGCCCGCAGGCGTCTTCCTCACCCAGTGCGGCGTTCCTTGAACCGCATGCGTCCCGCACGCCCAGTACACCGTTCCGTGGTCCCATAGGGAACTTCACCGAAGGTCCCAATGGTTTAGTCCGCATGCGTCTTCCCCACCCAGTACAGCGCTTCGTGGCCCCATAGGGAGCTCCGCCGAAGGTCCTAGTGGCGAAGCCCAGCTCCACCGAAGGTTCCAGTGGCGCAGCCCGCATGCGTTTCCCACACCCAGTACAGCGTCTCGCGGTCTCAAGGGGAGTTCCACCGAAGGTTCCACTGTCGCAGCCCGCGTGCGTTTCCCCCACCCAGTACAGCGTGCCGTGGCCCCATAGGGAGCTCCACCGAAGGTCCCAGCGGCGCAGGCCGCATGCGTCTCCCCCCCGCCCGAGTAAACCGTTTCGTGGCCCACCGAAGGTCCCAGTGGCTTAGTCCGCATGCGTCTCTCCCACCCGGGACAGCGGGTTTTTGTCGCCCCGTTGGGAGCTCCACCGAAGGTCCCAGGGGCGCAGCCCGCATGCGTCATCCAGTACAGCGTTTCGTGGCACCATAAGGAGCCCCACCGAAGTCCCAGAGCCGCAGCCCGCATGCGTCCCCCCCCCACCCAGTGCAGCGATTCGTGGCCCCGTAAGGAGCTCCACCGAAGGTCCCAGCGGCGCAGCCCGCATGCTTCCCCTCCACCGAGTACAACGTTCCTTGCCCCACAGGGAGCTCCACCGAAGGTTCCAGTGTCGTAGCCCGCATGCGTCTCCCCCGCCCGGTACAGCGTACCTACAACTGCGGTGTTCACAACTGCATATGGTTGGTTCTTTCGCCAGGCTATTTTCAAGCCGCCTATGCCACATTGTCCTACTTGTCCTCGCCTCCACCGGAGATTTTTCAATAGTTCCCAACCAACTTGTTGTTGGGCTTCGTTTGAGAAACAAACAAGCCCGCGTTCTTCTCCTCCTCCCCCTCCTCCTCCTCCTCCCTTTCCTCCTCCTCCTCCTCCACCCATCCCTGCATCTGCCCTCCGCATGTCCTCGTCGTCGTCGTCGCCGTCATTATCATCATCACCCGCAGCATCATCATCAGCATCATCATCCGCATCAGCATCAGCATCAGCATCAACATCAGCATCATCATCCGCATCAGCATCAGCATCAGCATCAACATCAGCATCAGCATCACCACTAACACCACCACCACTACCACCATCGTCGTCATCATCTTCACCATCATCATCACCATCACCATCACCATCATCATCATCATCATCATCATCATCATCATCATCATCATCATCATCATCATCATTATCATTATCATTATCATCATCATCATCATCATCACCATCATCATCATCATCATCATTATCATCATCATCACCATCATCATCATCATCATCATCATCATCAGCAACAGCATCAGCATCATCATCAGCAGCATCATCATCATCCGCCGTACTAGGGTAGTGGTGGTGGTGGAAATTCGTCCCATCATTGAGGGCATAGCGGTAGCCTGTCAGGTCCGTCAAGGAAGCCCGTGGGGGTTTTGTACGGGTGGTCCTTTGGGAGGCTTCTTGGGGGTGTTTGGGGCCATTTGGGGGGCCTTTGTTGGAGGCTTTGGGCGCCTCGTGGGGACGTTTCTGCGGTTTGGGCGATATCCTGCAGGGGCAGGCTGTCAAGGCCTGCTCGATTTCACCCTGTTGAGATTCTGGTCAGAGCGCACCCTGGGAGAGGTCCAGGGAGTAGCGGTATCGGTGCCGTCGGACTTCCCCAG